GAAAAAAAAAAAAAAAGAGCTGAGACCTTGAGGCATCCTTCAGAGTATTAGAGACAGACTTACTAGATGAAAGACTAGGAAATTTGGTGTTTAAACAAAAAGGGACAAGTGAAACATCACTTGTTTCTGCTGAAAGAGACAGAAAGAAGAGCTTTAAAGATTAAATTTAACAAATATTCAAATATTGATTAGCATGCACCAGCCCCTCTAGAGGTATTAACTCATTTGATATAATTCTCACAATGGCTGTATCTTTGATTTTGCTTCCTAGTACAATAGATGAAGTCCTGCTTTATTTCAGAGGAGAACCAAACCGTTTTAACAAGTCTGCAGTGCCCTGGCTAACAAGACAAACCAAAAGGAATGAGGTTAAAATGAGAAGAGATACCAAKGGAAGTCATCTATGCAGCCAGGCATATCAGATGTAGCCTTCACATTTCTTACAAGATTAACCCTCAATTTCTATGATATTACCTCTCTCTTAGTTGTGAACTTATCTTAAAAAGCCAACCTTGCCTAGGATCAATGGTCTATTGGTAGGTAAGAAAGGGTATAGAGCCCTATCTAAACTAATGATTTGGTGGAATTAACTTTGTAAACTATCAGTTGAACTGGTGTAAATAAAGAGAGATGAAATGTCAAGGGGTAGTCAATACCACAATTTTTGCTTCCTCATCATTCAAATTTCTTTTGCTTAGTTTTTTTCCAAGTGTTTTATTTAATATGTTGCTCCACTTTGCATTTCAACTCCCCTTAAATGTAACATCTAAAAATGTTACATTTCACATTAAATATCAAATTAGCTTGAGTAACTGTTAAAGTACTCCAAAAGGAAAAATATTGAAAATGAGTTTGAACTTGATGAGTCCATCCAGGGAACTAATGGGATGTAAGGGAATCTTTTCTGTGCCAGGTACTATGCTTAGTATTTTAAGTTATCCCACTTAATCGCACAGTGGGTATTACACCCACTGTTTGAGGACTAAGAGAGTCTCCAGGAGGGTAGAAGCTTACAGTTAATAAAAGGCAGGCCACGCTTTATAAGCCGAGGTGGTTCAGGCTTCAACTTGCATAGCACTGAGACTATTTAAGAGAATCTTGGTAAGAAGGTACCAAACTTGCTGGCGATCCAGGGATAGTTCAATCTGAGAATACGGAGCAAATAATAGCAGTAGCTTTGTTCTAAATTTGTTACACAATACATTTCTTTTATTATTTTTAGTCCACTAGAGCGAGTCTCCATACTCTTAAATAGCTGGTTAAAACATTAGGTTGTCATAATTAATGGTGTTCTATTTTTATTACTGAGAAAGTAAATTATGCCTGCACACATTTGTTGGAAAAAAAAGTGATACAGCTAAGGACTAAATTATCTAGCAGGAAGGAACATTTGTAGAACGGTAGCCCATGGCCTAGAAGGTCCATTAAAGCACCGAACAGCTTGTCCATTGAAGCTGGATGGGCGGCTGCGCTCAGGGGCCTACAGAGTGCACAAAGCTACAGGGGGACTACCCCAGTGTCCACCTTCAGAAGTGAAGGCAAGTCCTAACATAAAGCACATACCGCACTCGGACAGTGTTTCTATAGGAAGGACGGGATGGGGGTGAGGGCGGAATTATTAATCCAGGTAGAAAATACATCTTGTTCTTGGGGGGAGGAAATGACATCCCTTCTCGAGATGCCCTTCCTCGCCAGGTATATCATCCTTCATGATCGATTCCTAAAGTGGAACGCATGCCAGGAGGCGACGCGTTCCTTAGCCCAGTGCGGCGAGGGGAGCGCAGGGTCCCCAGGCGGCGGGGGCGGCGGTGACGCAGGAGGCGACGGGAGCCCGGGTCCCGCGGCGCGGAGGGGGTAGCACGGCGTTGTGCGGCACGGGCCAATGAGGACGCGCGGTGTTTCTGGYGAGGGGAGGGCGGGGGCTCCAGGTTTCCTTGGGTCCCGGCGCAGCGCCGCCTGCCGAGTTTGGAGCGAGCGGGCGGAGCCTGCGGGGGTCTCCGGGCGCGCCTGCCAGTCCGGATTTTCCTCCGAGGCGCCCCCGCCTTTCCAGGTCCACCCCCTTCTCCGGCCCAGAAGCGGCTCCGACGGCTTGCGGCCTCCTCCTCTTCGCGCTCCCCACCTCGGCTCGCCACGCGCTTCGCCGGAGCCGATCTTTGCCTGGTGTCCCGGGGGCGGCGCCGGCGGGGGCGCCTCACCCCTGCCGGCGGCGGTAATGCCGCTGCCTTTGCCGCCCTTGCGGCCGGACGGGCAGCTGGCAGCGGCTGGAACCAGAGCCGGAGCGTACTCGCCGCTGGCCGGGACGCCGCCCTGGCCTGCGCTTGGCTCCCGCGGCGGCCGCAGGGCGCCGGGGTCCGGCGCGGCATGAGGTGGAGGTTGCGCGCCGGCGAGCGCCCAGCTCTTCGGCCCCCAGGGCCCCCGCGGGCCCTAGCGCGTCGCGTGAGCAGGCTGCGGCCCCGGCGCCCACGCTAGCCCGGCGCCGGCACGAGACGCCGCGGCCCGGAGAAGGAGGCGCAGGCCCGCCGAGCGATCGCGGGCGGCGGGACCCTGAGTTCTGGGCTCCGTCCTGGGCGGATACCTGGAGCCGCGGGCAACCCCGGTGTGCTGCAGTTAACTGCCCCTCTCCGCAGGGCGCCGCGGCGCGCAGCCTGCGCCTCTCCCCACCTGCAGCCCCTCCTCCCGCCGCTGCCTGGCGGAGGGAACGCGCGTCCTCGCCCTTCCTCCGCCTCTCCAGGTTCTCTGGTCCTCGGGACCCCCACCCGGACTCTCCTCTTCCTCCACCCTTCCCCTTAGCCCTCCCGCGCCTCTCCTCCCCGGCTCCCTGGCCTCCCATTCATTCCGTGCGCTTCCTCCCCTTTTCTCCTTCCCGCTCGGGCCCTATTCCCAGAGCCTCTCTGCACGGAACCCTCGGTATTCTCGGGGTGCATAGCACATTCATGGAAGTTTAGGGCCTGGACGGTGGCCCCGAATCCGGCCTGAGAGCGCAGCCCGAGCTGCAGGCTGGGAAGAGGAAGATGTCTGTGCTCAGGCGAATGATGCGGGTCTCCAATCGCTCCCTCCTCGCCTTCATCTTCTTCTTCTCCCTGTCCTCGTCTTGTCTTTACTTCATCTATGTGGCTCCGGGCATCGGTAAGTACCGGGACACACCCTCACCTCCCACGGTCACAACCGAGAAAATGCCCAACGTTAAGGATGTTACTTGTGGGATTTGGAGGCTGTGTAAACGGGGGCCCCCAGAAAGCATTTTATTTGCACTGTTATTTCAGACGTGTCAAACTGCCTGCGGGCATGGCTTTGCTACGTGAATTTTGTTAATGTATGTTTAAATAACTTAAAGCATTGCATTAAATGGACATAGTAGGTGTAGGTGTGATGGCCCAGGATGCTCTGGACGCGTTCTGAAGTATTCATAACCCGCTTTATCCATTTAATGTCAAATCTTAAGCTGAATGGTAGTTTTATTCAAACATCCTCAGATATAATAACTGGTTGTAAAATTATAATGGAGAAACCGGCAGCAGGGAATGTGATCGAGGTCAAGAGTGTACCTATTTCTAGTGTTCTAGGTCACTTTTTTAGAATGGGGTCAATGAACATTTGTGATATACTTCAGGAATTTTTAGGGTCTGACTTGTCTTGTAAAAAACAGTGCTCCATTATTTGGTATGCGTGCATCTGCTTTTCAAGGGCAGGTTGCCTCAGCTACCTGTTAGGAAGACTTCGAAGATAAAATAGTGATTAAAATAATTATGTAAGGCAATTTGTAGTTTAAAATTTTAAACTTCTGTTTAGCATTTTAGGCCTTTGGTCTGAAATACAGAACTGGCTTCTTTCTTAATTCCTCATCCCCACTTCTGTTGGTAAACCACCAACCTGGAATTATTCTAATGAATGAATAAGAAGAATTTCACATGGATATGAAAATACATCGTTATTTTCAAAACTTTTCTGAATTTTCCTTGGTTATTGTGTTTTTAATGTTAAACTGTTAGTAACAGTGTGCATCTCCTACCATTTTTCGTTAGACACTAAGTTGGTTAAAAATGTGGTACTATTACAGAGTGAAAACACCTGCAGAATTTTGAGATGCAATTCTTATCTGGGCATCATCTTGGGTGTAATAGATATTGTTATGAATTGTTTGGGAGAAGGGAGAAGCAAGCCTCATCCAGACTGTTTGACTTCTTAAAAAGAAATCACTATGTGACTTTTTCTTTATTAAGGTTTTAGATTGAAGTAAGAAATATACACTCAGAACCAGGTGAGGTGGTGCAGGCCTGTAATCCCAGTGACATGGGAGGCCCAGGCCAGAGGATCACAAGTTCCAGGCCAGCCTCAGCAACTTAGCAAGGCCTTAAGCAATTTAGTGAGACCTGTCTCAACATAAAAAACAAAAAGCACTGGGGATAGAGCTTAGTGGCAAAGCACCTCTGGGTTAATCCCTAGTACCAAAAAAAAAAAAAAAAAAAAAAAAGAAAAAGAAATACACTCAGATGATGATGCTTGAGAAGATAAATTGCTGACACCTTGATGTATCTCAAAATAGAAGTTTTAGGGTAGAGTTTGTAGAAGCATGGATATTTTAATATTATTTTCCATAGATGCAGTTTCTTTGTACAATAGCAACAGCAAACAACACCTCCTTGAAGCCTGTAATACTGATAGTAGTTCATATTTTAGCCTGAATTACATCTTGGAGCCAAACTCTCTTATGGCTAAAATATATGTGTGTAGGAATACCTTTTATTGGTCCCAAATATTAAGTTTCAAATCTCTTCTATTAAGAAGCCCCTATTCATCTTACCATATTGCCTAGTTTGGTAGATGTCAATCTTTCCTATCACTCAGTTGGCTTGATGTTATCCAACATGTTCAGCAAAGACTTTCCTTAAGGTTTGTTATTTATTTATTTTTGCCATTTTGGAAGTCTATACATTAACTCCTAATTCTATGGCTTTTTTTTTTTCTTTTACTTTCTCATGTAACTTCTTAGAATTTGGATATCCCAGTGGGATGTTATTTTACTAGACATTTAACTTTGATTTTGGAGAAGGGTTTTTTGGATTTTTTTTCCCTTTTGGTTTGCTCTTAGATAACAATGTTCTTACTTTGTATTTAACTTGTTAAAGTCATATTACTCAAAAAGTTAACTGAAGAACTAGGTGTGGTGGCCCATGCATGCCTGTGATCCCCAGTGATTCAGGAGGCTGAGGCAGGAGGATTTCAAGTTCGAGGCCAGCCTCAGCAATTTGATGAGACTGAGCAACTTAGCAAGACTCTGTCTCAAAATAAAAAGGACTTGAGATGTGGCTCAGTGGTAAAGCACCCTTGGGTTCAGTTCATCAGAGCGGGGTGGCGAGTGGGGGAAGAAAAGTTAACCAAAGGAAATCAAAATTCCAACTTTTATTTGATGTCATCCATTTGTTTTTAATTTTTTGGTTGGTGTGTTAATATACTATCTGCAGATTCTTAAAATTCAATTGATGTGAAATACTAATATATCTTTTATATCTGAGTGTTTAATGTTTCCCATAGAATAATCATTAATATCATAAAAATTTGGCCAATTTTCTTGCAAGCAATTAGGTTGACATAATTTAAACTACTGTCTTGAATTTTATTTTAAAAACAACAAAAACCCATTAAAGCTAGTAAGAAAAGTAACTTAACCAAGCTTATAAAATACCATAAATTTGTTAAAACTGACTCTGGTTCAAAATCCTGTGCCATCTAGCAACAAACAAAAACAAAAAAGGAAAGCAACCCCCTTCCCCCACCAAAACCCACAAAACCTTCCTACTTATCTGTATATCTTTTAAGTATTGGGAAACAGTTTTGYAAAATTCAGATATTTTGCTTGAATGTTCAACTTCTTATCATTGGCAACAAATGTTGTCTTTTTTTTTTTTTTAAGTGTCAGGATCCGTTTCTTCATATTTGAGGAAATATAGGTCAGACACACAAGTGTAATCATGGTGTGTCTGTTGTTCCCACAAGTAAACATGATGTCCCATGAAAAATGTGGCTAGTTGAGTTCACAGTGCGACAATCCATTYTCTGCACACACGCTTTGGGTTGAGACAGCCATAGTACTTTGTTAGGGAGCAGAAGTGCTTTACCTGTGCTCCCCATTCTTTCCTGGATTTCTTAGCGTTTTCATTAGACCTATAGAAATTTCTTCATGAAATGCATCATATTTTAGCCTGAATTGCCTCTTGGGGGCTAAATTTTCTTAAGATTGAGATATATGTTGTAGAACTCTTTATTGGTTTTAAATAAATGTTTCAAATATTTTCTGTTAAGCTGTCCTTGTTAATCCTACCACATCAACCTGCTTGGTAGGTGTCAGTTACATTATGTCAACATCTGTGTTTGCCAGGTGCCCTTCTCAGACAGGACTTTTCATTTTAGTTACTCTTGTTTGATCTCCTTTGCCTGCGTTCCTGTCTCCCCTCCTTTCTCCATTGTGAGCTGATACACTACCTGATTGTAGTGTGCTGGTTGCAGATGGCATACTCTTGTTTAGTTTCCACTGATTGTCAATGTTGCTTAGCATTTTCTGGGCTATTTGGGTCTTAATGTACAATGAGTTCCATAGAACTTTAAGCGCATTGTTTTAGGAATAACTTGAGACTTTTTTTTGCCCTGACCTTTCTGATTCATTCAGGAAACACAAGGATAGTCTTTAACTCTAGTGCTAAGGGTAACTTAAGGGAGATGTAGGCACCTTCCCCCTGGTCACCCCATAAGAAGTCCACAGACACACTGCCCTATACCACCCAGGAGAGGTGGGAGCCATGAATTGTTTTTCATCCTTTGTTGGCCTTTGTGCATGATTGCAAAGAGATGAGTGCAGTTTCCCTCCAAGGTTTTTACCTGGTGGGATTGAGACTAGAATAGGAAGCTATTTCTAGTATAACTTCCAACATAATCCAGTTATTTCCCTGTTGTCATATCAGAGGAGAAGATGAACTAGCTTAAAAAATCCATTCAACAAATACAAATGGAGAGAAGCTAGACATTGAGATACCAAAGATAGATGGCAGAAGCAGTCATCAATGAGGATGAGCCTGGGGAAGGAGCTACAGCAAGTCCTTGGAAAGCATGTGGTGGAGAGTGAGCACTGGTTAAGTATTTCAGCTAGTGGTTGGAGTGGGCCATCACTAGGACTTTTCCCAGACTGAGCAAAGGGTTTCTGGTCAGAATGAACAGCATGAGTAAGCTTCCAGAAAGTGGGAGTACTCTAGTTCCATCTGGCTACAACTCAGGGTGTGGGGTGGTAGATGGGTCAGATTGGGAAAAGTTTCTGGGCTCACACAGCTTTATCTAAGCTGTCTATTATTAAGAAAGAAATCAGTGGGCCTGTAATCAGTGAGGCAATATCAAGGGGGAGACTGAATAATCTCGCTGGGAGTGGGAATTTCATAGTCCATTGACTCACTAGCATCCCTGACTTTTCCTAGACTAGTGAGAGGCTGTTTGGTATTTTGGGTAGTRGTGGAATCTAACTGGGCCACTTTGGTCTGAATTCCTGTGGTCCATTTTGAGGAATTACCTGACCTAGTGTTAGGTTGTTTGGGCCACCACGGGGTTTGTATCCTACGGGGAGTGGTGGAGTTGGTGGTCCTGGGTGGTAGGGTGCAGGCATATGTATTCTGGGAGAGGTGGCTTAGTCAGGTCCTTGCTCAAAGCCCCTTTTTGTTTTTCTTTTTCCCTTTCAGTGCTGGGGATCAAATCCAGGGCCTTTTGCATTGCTGGACAGGCGTTATATGTCAAAAACTACACCTTCAACCCTCACCTRTCATTTTGATTGAGCTTTTGTTTGGGCTTCTCAGAAAGTTGCTATTTGCCCYGCAGGTTTCTTATCATAGCCCTTTAGCCTTCTGGCCCTGGCCAGACTAGCCTGGCTCTCTCTGTTCTTAAGCTGTTTATTATTTTTATTTGTTTTGTTTTGTATAAGGCAGTAGGGTATATTTTGACATATTATACATCCATGGAGTGTAACTTAGGATCTCATTCTTACGRTTGTACGTGATGTGGAGTTTCACTGGTTGTGTATTCATATATGGGCATATATGAGGAAAGTTATGTCCGGTTTCTACTGTCTTTCCTGTTCCCATCCTCCTCCC